CACACACACACACACACACACACACACACACACACACACACACTCAGAACATTCATACCTGTGTTAGCAGGAATGCAGATAAGCGCAAACCAAGAATCCAAACACTGTTGGCAGATCGACCAGCAGAGAAAGCGGAATGATTCCCGTCTCTCCCTCACCCCCTCAGTGCGCACTGTATTCTAACTATATATGTTCTTTTTTGTTCTGTTTGTTGTTGTTTTTCGAGAAAGAGTTTCACTGTGTAGCTTTGGAGCCTGTCCCAGAACTCAGGCTGTAGACCAGGCTGGCCTTGAACTCAAAGATCCTCCTGCATCTGCTTCCCAAGTGCTGGGATTAAAGACTGCCAGAAAAAGTGTTCTTAATTAGTGGTCTGTGAATGGCAGTTCCTGAAGGATAAAAGAGCGGTGACAGGAAGTCTTAAAAACACATCTGGAATGAGCGTGATGACCCACCACTTCAGACTATCATGATTGTCACTGACTACCAACACACACACACACACACACACACACACACACACACACACACACACACACGCACACGAGGAGATGATCTCTCTCTGGCTTCTCTCAAGACTCACTTAATGACTTTTGGCAGAGCCGGTGGGTTAATGATTTAAATTTTTTAAAATTTATTATTGTATGCGCACATGATACATGTTTTCAGGTATGTGCCACAGGCATGTATCTGGAGGTCAGAGGTCAACTTTGCGAAATTGGTTTTCTTCTCTCACCTCTGTGTGGGCTTTGGGAATTGAACTCAGGTCACCAGACTCGAGTGGTAAACACCTTTACTCACTGAGCCATCTAGCTGGCCTTGGATTAGTGCTTTTGAAGTTCATTCTGGGTGTGTTATTGCTAAGAATTCACCCACCAATATTCTGGTAATCATTATTCAAAATTATTCTACCATTCATGATACATTGGGGGAAATTTTTCTGTCATCTTGAGGACTGATTTTTAGAAAAGAAAAAGAATGATTTTAAAAGAATTTATCTATGCATAGGGAAAAAAGGAAAAAAGGAAAAGTTGCGTGACTGTAAAACACCGGTGCTCCTCCCCTTTCTTCTGATTGCATCTCGGCTGCCCGCTCGCTCGGTTGTTCTAGGCCAAGGCATCAGCGGCTGGTGGCCAAAAAGGCAGCGTGAGGAACGTGACGACCCAAGCCTGAGCAGCGGAGTCAGAAACAGGTGACCTGGGAGTCCAGAAAGATGGGCGGGAGGGGCAGGAGGAGGCCAGAGTGCACACACCTGTCCTCCAGGGACACGTCAGCCGGAGGCTAACTCAAGGCGTGGCGGACACAGCCCCTGCCCAGCTCCTGTCGTCCCTGTTCTGTGTGTTCCTTCACAGCGCACCCTCTTTCCTACAGTTTTCAGAGTCCCCTCCTCACAAAACACTCCCTCCAGCTCCAGACCATAGCCATATGCCTCATGACTGTGACTCGAGCCATTTATCATCCGTACAACTCATTTAGGATTTAATCTCACGCTGTCTTCTGACACATCTGGAGTTGGTTCAATGTGTCTTTGTTTCCTGCAAACAGACCATGAACTTCTTAAGGTTATGACCTACCTGATCAGTAATGTGAAGCCAGACAGGAATCATTCTTCCAAAGGTCACATGCTCACCTGTGGTGGAACCACTGCTCTCTGGTTTATTACATGTGTCAGTTAAATAAATACTTGTAAATACATTTACTCAGACTGGGAGGGAGAGGTGGCAGGGACCCGTCCAAACTTGTTTTTCCCAGATCTCTTGGGTATGGGATCCAAGAAAATTATTAAGCATGATCATGAAAAATTTGAAGTTAAATTTTAAAATGAAAAGGGAATATTCTAGGTAGTGTCTCCAGAATTGATACATACATTTGGGGAAGAGGTTGAGATCAGCTTTGCTATGTCGCCCAGGCTGATCTCAGTCTTTCCGACTCAATGCCCCAAAGCCACGCTGGCAATATGCGAATGAGTTTTAAAATATCCCCGAATGGAGGCAGTTGGCTCCCCGAGACTGAGATGGGTGCTGAGTCTTTCATGGCTAAGTGGTCCTAGCGAGAGCGTCCCTCGTAGGGACAGGCACTTACATCCCCGACAGTGAGTTCTGATTATACACTCTCCTACATGTTTTCTCTCTTTTAACTATGCTAGTGCAGCCTTTTCCGGGTTGCGAGAAATTCTTCCCTCTTTCTCAAACCTACAAATATTTTCTCCATGACATGTTGGTTCTTCAGTCTTGACAAGCCTCTGATCGGGCAGGGATTTCCGAGTCGTGGCATTTTTGCCTTTGTGGATGTGTTCCTTACAGTTCTGGGTGTGTCTGTGATATTCATGTTTTGTTGTGCCACGCCCCACATGTGAACCTCAAGCTTTCAAGATCTGATTAGTAGAACAGCTCACCAGTGGCTTCTGTGGCAGGCACATCGGTTTCCTCACACCTGAGCTGTTCAGTTGGGACATTGCCGACATGTCCTTGGTACGACCCCCTACCACCCTCTGAGAACCAGAATTGCTGCCAATAAATGCAAGCAAAAATATCCCCACAAGCTTCTAACTGTGCCCTAGGGCAGGTGTGCCATGCCCAGTTCAGTCAGCTGTTTTAGATGCTGCCTGTACCTCTGTACCCCCAAACACACCCACTCTCCCCACAAAGAGGGTGATTAACGTATTTGCTGATGGATCCCTTTCTGAGAGCTCGTCACAGCTCTGTGTCACTCTTGCAGAGTTTTTCTTGCTTTAGCGTGAGCCCTAAACTGGTTTCCTCTTGGTTTCCTCGTTAGGAGAAACCTACACAAACAGGAGATTCAACAAACTCCCGTGGATCCTTTCATTTCATATCAACAACTATCAACTCATAGACGATGCTGTTCTATGTCCAAATCTACCTACCCTGCCTCTCTGGGACGCATGTCACAGACGTCATTCTGTGCATGGACCTTTGGGTTTGGGACAAACTTGTGTGCATGTGTGCATGCATGTGTGTGTGTGTGTGTGTGTGTGTGTGTGTGTATGTACATGTACGTGTGTATGATGCCACCAGTGCTAAGGTCACACATGAGGTGTGTGTCACCTTTCCATGTCAGCCAGTGTTCCTCTTGGCCGGCCAGACTTCGTTCCATACAGTGTCATATGTGACTTCTGGGATAAAACTGTGTAGACAAGTCAGGAATTGATGAAAGGACCGTTTTTAGCAGAAGGACCCTTTCTGCAGAGCTCTCTGGAGTCTGTGTGTTTGTGACAGTCTGGTCCATCTGCACTCGCTCAGTGCTCTGTATGGGGCAGCTGGCGTCCATATCTTCACTCAGGCCGAATGAAATGGAGTTTAACAACATCCAAATGTCTTTCTGTACCAGACTCTCTAGCCCAGTGGTTCTCAACCTTCCTAATGCTGCCACCTGTTACAACAGTCAGTGTTGTGCTGACCCCAACCATAAAATCATTTCACTGCTGCTTCATAACTGTAATTTTGCTACTGTTATGCATTGCAATGTAAATATCTGATATGTGATCCCAAAGGAGTTATGACCCACAGGTTGTGAGGTTGTGAACCACTGTTCTAGACATTCCCCACCAGGTGGGGAATGCTGAGTCCTTGGCGAGGCTGTGGATTTGGAAGAGGTACGTCCATCTGCTGAGGCAGATGAGGGAATGGGCTGTCACTGCCTTGGTACTCAATGAATTGTTGTTTTTCAGTTTTGTCTACAGAAATACCTAAAGAGGTGAAGGTCGGGAGCTACAGAAGGCTGAAGAGCTGGTTCCATCATGGTTGCTTCTTAAATGCAGATGACAGCTGAGTGACATGTCCCACATTGTTCTTCTCTCCCTCCTCCCCGTCTGGGGATCTGGCTGGCCTTTTTTCTGGTTAAACTAGATTAACTCTGATGACTCTGGGGCGATGCTTTAAGAACAAATGGATAGCCATACCAACACTAAGCTTGACCTTGGGCCCATGGGCTGTTCAGTTTGTGCTGGGACTCACAACCCTGATCTGGAGTGACCTTTTCTCCCCGTGATGGTGACAGGATCCAGAATCTCAGGAACAGCGCAGCAGTGAGTGCAGCTTTTGAGCTGGTTCTAGCGGTGAATCATAACACACCCCCTTCATTTCCTCCCAAACAATTCTCTTCATTTCTTCCTTGAGATGAATGTTTAGAAAGAACAGAGATCTGTGTTAGGAAGAGCTTGGCTACAAAAGGCTCCTGTGGCAAAGAGATGTTATGAACAAATAAATGGATAAAGAATATGTGGATCATATACAAAATGAAGTTTCATTTAATAGTAAAGAAGAATAAAATTGTTGTTTTTTTTTTTTTTTTTTTTTTTTTTTTTGGTTTTT